CAAAACTGCAATTTCTTCCCAATCTTTTTAAAAACAGGCACGACCTCCTTCCTTGGTGGGTGACGAGCGTCACCAGATTGGTGACGAGCGTCACCCATATGCATACTTTCCTTCTCGAGTTGGATACTTCGTGGCTTCAACTTGCAATGCTCCAAAAAGCTCCAATATCTCCAGTTATGCTCCAGACATGCTATAACCTGCAAAGACTCTTCCAGGACTCTAAAAAGACCAAAAAGACTCAATAAAAAGAACTTATATCATGGTTAAAAACCATAAAAACCATGATATATCACTGTGGTCTCGGAAGTCAACATGGTTGAAGACAACCCGAAAGAGTGGTGGTACGACACTGGTGCAACGACCCACATCTGCGCTGAACGTGCAATGTTCAGTACCTCCATAAGAGTAAATCGACCGAATAGCTGTTCATGGGGAACTCTGCATTCTCCAAGATCATTGGTCGCAGAAAAGTTATGCTGAAGATGACCTCGGGAAAGGAACTCACTCTTCAGAATGTTAAACACGTTCCTGACATGAGGAAGAACCTGATCTCCGGCACGCTGATGAGCAAGGCTGGATTTGCTGCTAACCTTGAGTCAGAACCATACATATGAGATCACCGATCTACCACAAGGGTTTAAAGCATTAGGGTGCAAATGGATTTTCAAAACAAATTTGAAAACTGAGAGCTCAATAGAGAAGTACAAGGCTAGGCTTGTAGTGCAAGGATTCCGACAAAAGAAGGCCTGGATTTCTTTGATATATATTCTCCAGTCACGAGAATAGCCTCAATTCGACTGCTAGTAAGCATCGCAGCATTAAGAGACTTAGAAATCCATCAAATGGATGTCAAAACTGCTTTTCTAGAAGAAGAAATTTAGGTGAAACAACCATAAGGTTTCGTCGTTCCTGGAGAAGGACATAAAGTATGTTGACTTGTGAAGTCATTGTACGAACTTAAACAATCCCCAGAACAATGGCATGAAAAATTTGATAATGTAATAATGCCAAATGGTTTCAACATTAATGAATGTAACAAGTGCATCTACATAAAATGTACTCCACTAGGGTATATTTTATTATGTTTATGCGTAGATGACATGCTCATTCCTGGAAGCACAAAAGATCTAATCAATCAAACTAAACAACTGTTAAAAAGCAAGTTTGATATGAAAGATATTTGACTTGCGGATGTAATTCTAGGGATTCAAATCACTAGAAATTCTGAGGGAATCATCCTGTCTCAAGCTCACTATGCTGAAAAAGATACTTGAGAGGTTTAAAAACTACTCAAACGGGACAGCAAAAACTCCAGTAGATTCTCAACTTCATCTTACAAAAAATTCGGGTGAATCAGTTTCACAACTGGAGTATGAAAGAGTGATCGAAAGTCTGATGTACTTAACAAATTGTACTATACCTTATCTAGCGCATGCAGTAAACGTACTAAGTCGCTACACAAGTAATCCAGGACATAAACATTAGAAAGCCATAACTAGAGTATTAAACTATTTACGTTATACCAAGAATTATGGTCTTCACTACGGTAAAGAACCCGCAGTTTTAGAAGCATATAGTGATGCAAACTGGATTTCTGATTCTAAAAACTCAAAATCCACGAGTGGATATGTCGAGCGGTGTCATGGAAATCTTCCAAACAAACTCTGTTAGCCAGATCGACCATGGAATCTGAGTTTATAGCGCTTGAAAAAGTCGCAGAGGAAGCATAGTGGCTTTGAAACTTTCTGGAAGATATTCCGGATTGGGAGAAACCATTGCCAGCATAACGTGTACACTGCGATAGTCAATTGGCTATAGCTCAGGCACTGAATAATCTCTACAATGGTAAATCTCGTCACATTTTAAGACGACATAGAACCATTAGACATATGATCTCAAGTGGTGTAATCACAATTGAATTTATCAAATCAGTTGACAACCTAGCGGATCCATGTACTAAAGGTTTGTCACGAGATCAAGTTGTTAAATCATCAAGAGGAATGTGTTTAAAGCCTATGAATTAAGAGAAAGCTTGATGGAAACCCCACCTACGTGACTGGAGATCCCAAGATCTAGGTTCAAAGGGAAAACTAAATCAAGCGGAATCTGTAAAAAGCACTGCAAGACTTTTATCTCTACCCAGTTCCCAGGAAGATAAACAGTGCTATAAGCATGTACGTGATGATTCCATAGCTTTGTAATAGTGGAGTATGACAGGATACTTCAGAGGAGTTAATGGCAGATCATCTAGTGAGTGTGAAATGCGGCCGTTTCTAGGAGAATGAAAGTGAGGCTATATTCTCCAAGTTCACTCACGAATAAACCAAGCAAGTTCAAGGCCAAAATGAACACAATAGAGAACATAGTTCTACGAGAAATGAAGCTGTATGATAGTTGTTGTCTCGGTTTACATCAAAATCTGGGTGGTTCAAGACATCATGTTCACCTCCTGGTGAGGTAAACCCAACAGATATTAAAATGAGTGGTTCAAAGCTGAAAATGCTACTTACTCAAACACAGTGAATTTTCGTTTAAACTCTCGAAAAGTCCGTCTGTCTAGTCTTAGTAGTAGTCTAGTCAGTAGAGTCAAGAAGCGTCAGTCGAGTCGTCATATGTTTAGAGTCATCTCTATTCAAGTGGGGGATTGTTGGACCCAAATTTTGAAAACCATTGGGCTTTAGAAAATATTAGCAAGATTGAAAAGAAATAGTCTAATTAATGTTTTTTTTGTCAGTGATTAGGTTAATGTTAAAGCTTTCTATTGGTAGGTTGAACCTAAGAGATCTCACAAACGTCAAAAACAAACAGTAGTGCTTGTTGGACCCAAATTTTGAAAGCTATTGGGTTTTGGAATATATTGGCAAGATTTAAAAGAAATGGGCTCAGGCTCAAGTAAATAGAGAGGAAATAATGTGAGAAAAGAAAGGGAGTTTGTCCCGCATCGAAAATGTGAACAAAAACACTTCAGTATATAAGGGAAGGAGATTAGCAAGGTTCAAAATGGTTAACACTTATGGTGTGCATGTGAGAGGTCGGACCAAGCCACGCGTGCGCCGCCGCCGCCAAGCGAAGCCAGGCTAGGCACGGATGCGGGTCGTGTTGGTCGAATGGGCCTTTGAACTGAAGGTGGTTATTCTTTTTTGTGCCAAATTTTGATTTCTGTTTTCAAGCCCAATACTTAAATGAAATTAAAATATCATTGGATCCAATAAGAATATTCTGCGGTTCAAAGTTGAAAAGATTTTTTTTTCAACCAAGTAAAAAGATTTTCCTCAACTTCCTCCCACTTCTCCTCTTTGTGTCACGTGCCACATTCTGCAGAGACTCATGGATCGTTAAACCATTCTTCTTTGGCTTTAAAAGAAAGCTGTGACTCTCCATTATTATAATTTTACACACAGAAAAAATTCAGTCTTTACAAAACCAGCAAATCCTCTTCTTTTAACGTAAGTCTCGAGAGTTTATCGTAGTATTTTCAAGTTCGCAGATTCCGTTTTGAGCGTTGCGAAACGGTCTATTATTGGTTGTATTTTGGGATTCAAAAATCACGTATCTCCGTCACACTGTGGGCGATTTATTGAGTTACAGAAATAGATCATCTCACCTCCAATATTCTGTTTTCTCGAAAACGTTTTCTCTATTCAGTTTTCTTTTGCTTTCCGTATCATATATTATCGTCTCTAATCAATTTTATTTATCGCATTTCATATTCGGTTTTTGCGGTTCCTACAGCGCTTAGGTTTGCACTCTCTGCCTTATCTTTAGTAATCGTAAAATATGACAATTAACAAAGGATAAATGTCCATACAATCGATCTCCTTTTTTTGCAGCAGAACCACGGATTATGCTATCAAAGACAGTGAAGATGAAAGCAATGGCTTTAGTCCTGAAGAGATGGGTGTCGTAAAGATAAAGGAGAGAGCAGAAGCTTACCTTGAAAAGAAAATCAAAGATGCTGTTGCCACTGTTCCAGGTTTGCTTGTTGTGAATTCTGATATATATACTATCCGTATCTGGTTCCATGTGTAACGACCCGGGCCCGGCCCATTTGAATAAGTTTAAATGGATTAATTTGGCTACCTATGTCATCAAAGTGCACTTATCTTTTCGGTCACAGATACTAAGAGAACTCCACAGTTAAGGGTGCTTATGCTGGAGTAGAACTAGGATGGGTGACCTTTTGGGAAGCGATTCCCGAAACTGTGTGAGTGAGGCCAAAACACGGGAAAAGATCATGTGGTGATTGCAGGGTCAGTAAATAAGTCGGTTGGGCTCCGGGAAAAATAACGCACCGACCGCCGGACAGGGGCGGGGCCCATGAGCCCGACGGAGGGATGGGTGACTCGCCGGAATGGGCGGTCGGGGGTGTTACAAGTGGTATCAGAGCTTCAGAAGTCAAACTGGTTCTGTCCCAGGAGACTGTCTTGGGGTTTGGGGGTTAAAGCCCACACTATCGGGATCAGAATTCGGAGACGAATTAGTATAGTGGGGGAGAATTGTACTGACCCGGGCCCGGCCCATTTGAATAAGTTTAAATGGATTAATTTGGCTATCTATGTCATCAAAGTGCATTTATCTTTTCGGTCACAAGTCCCGAGAGAACTCCACAATTAAGGGTGCTTATGCTGGAGTAGGACTAGGATGGGTGACCTTTCGGGAAGTGATTCCCGAAACCGTGTGAGTCAGGCCAAAATACGGGAAAATATCATGTGGTGATTGCAGGGTTAGTAAATAAGTCAGTTGGGCTCCAGGAAAAATAACGCACCGACCGTCGGACAGGGGCGGGACCCACGAGCCCGACGGAGTGATGGGTGACTCGCCGGAATAGGCGGTCGGGGGTGTTACACCATGTTTGCTTGCTTATTGGTTATATATATGACTATGTGCAGATTCTGGTGTTATCTGACTAGGTAGCTTGATGTCCACAAAAGGAAGACCGATGATCATCCATCGGTGGATACGATCTCAACATGTCCTAGTCAACCACTACTGAATAGATAGTTTTATTATTATCTAATCCACATTTTTCAAGTGGATCTTGTCTTGTGAAGACTACGAGAGAAGCCAACGCCACGGTTTCTGTATGTTTTGCGTCGCCTAGGACTAGATAACCACCATGGTTTGAAAACGCTAAACAAAGGTTTCACACTATTCTGACTCTTTCTAGCCTTTTTTTGTTTAGTTTTAAACCTCCGATTGAAACCAACGAGATGGAGGCATCCCGTCTTCTCATCAAAGCTTCTTCTGACCTTAGCATTCGATCAACATGCTTACCCACTCGATCCTTGCTCGGGTCCATGTAACTGATGTAGAAAGATGCATTCTTAGCCTTGAATCCCTCGTTCGGATCTTGGGTTGATTCTATAGCCACTTTCCTAATCTCCAAGTTGGACAGATCATCATAATCACCGCACGTCCTACGATTCGTGGCAACCGCACGTTCCAAGTATAGACGAATCATTGATTCATTGGACTCGTCTTGCAGCTTTGAGTTCTTCACCTACCAAAAAGAAACAAAAGCTATACATTATTACTGCTACTAGTTGATCATTCATGAGCGAAAGCAAGAGTTTGCAAAGTGTATCCTAATCCTTACCACGTAAAACCGCTTTGTATCTTTGAAATAATCATCCGACGGCCACTCAGGGTACCTAGACTTGTAGGAGCATTCACTATATGAGCCGAGCAGAGGATTCTCTCTAGCAATTATGTGAGACAGTTTATAATATTCATCTCTCTGTTTGATTCTAATTTTAAAAGATGTTTAAGAAATTATTTGATTTTCTATTTATTTTTCTATAATAAAACACCATTTACAGTCTAAATGAACACGAATTCACCAATTTAACAAAGCAAGGAATGTTCATTGATTTTGCATAGATTATTAAGAATCACTAAATTTGAAACAAGAGAATAATTAAAAACAGATCTCAAACGATAATATAAAATCTTGTACTCCAAAGAATAATTATTACAAAACACCACATGTTACCTCGAGGTTCAGAGATACAGCACTTCAAAGCTAAAACGCCACGATCTTTTTGGGTAACTTGAATCAGAAAACACTAAGGCAAACGGTCAGACGGATCCATTGCAACCGACGTTATGTAGAACTCGCCAGCACCGAAATGTGCTGTGCGATTGTATTTTTTTACGCGACAGAACTGATAGTTTTTCCCCTGAAACCGTACACGCAGAGAAATCAAGAGATTGAAATGTAATGGTGGATGAAGAAAGCACCAATAGACTAAGTTTATAATGATTAAGTTAATACCTCGACGAAATTGTAACGATGAAGGCCCATCTTAGCATAAAGAGTGACTAAGATAGGGAAAGGAAACCGACGATTATGGCTCACTTCCATCAGTTGTTTGTATCCCTTGCCATCGAAACCCTACAAGACGTTTTGTGCCGGATTATAAAACCTTAGCATTGCAGCAAAACACAAGAAACTATTGAAGACTGTAGGGTTATGGGAATTTCTACATGTGGATTTCGGCCAACAGATGGAACGCGACATGTTGGTTCAGCTGATTGCGTTTTATAGCTCAGAGTATCATCGTAGATGCAGCTACATTGGGAAACATGGACACCCAGTGAAGATGACCTCGACGGAGCTAGCCAGAGCTTTGAGGTTGCCTCCACCAAGAGAAATCACGGAGAAGGAAAAGGAGATAGTGGAAAGTGAAGAGTCGGTGCGGTTCCTGGAAGAAGTGGTACGCAAGTGGATGTTACTTCCTCACGATGGTGCAGTGGTAGTACGGGATTTGCCCGAGTTTAAGGAACGCGGGTCGATTTGCTCTGGGGCAGGGTTGAGAGAGAGAGTTGAAAGCGGATCCTCCTGTTGGCGATTGTTTCTATGCAACGCATCTACAACTCCTAGTGAATACTCAGTGGCGGAAGAACCAGAAGATGATACAAAAGGAGGAGGTGAAGTGTAGAAGAATTGTCTTGGAGGATGATGGAGAAGGAAGTGATTTTGAAGGAGGTGGTTTTCTCTTACAATGAAATGCAGCTCTCCCATTTCAATTATACTTTTTCTTCTTCTTCTAACTTGTGATTTTTCATTATTCTTTCTGCTGGCTACAGGTTATCAGAGTTTGCACGATCATGACCATTCAAGAGAGTCGCAGTCAAGCACAACCAAAAACAAACACAATATGAAGGACATGACTGCAGAGCACAAGGGTGAGGAGCTGAAGAAAGCAATAGCAGAGAAGGATGAGGAGATGAAGAAAGCAATAGCAGAGAAGGATGAGGAGATGAAGAAAGCAGTAGCAGAGAAGGATGAGGAGTTGAAGAAAGCAGTAGCAGAGAAGGATGAGGAGTTGAAGAAAGTAATGAAGGAGATGAACGATAAGCGGATGGAAGAGCGGTGTGACTTAGAACAGTTAGAGTATACGAACTCGGCACTCCTCATAAAAGAGCGTCAAAGCAACGATGAGATACAAGAAGCACGCAGAGAGTTGATTAGGGGATTGAGAGACTTATCAGGTGATGAAATCGGTGGAGCCACGATCAGAGTTAAGAGGATGGGTGATGAGAGACCCCAAACTCGCTATTTCAGCTGAGAGTGGTTCTCACGTGTTAAAATCATTTTTCAAAGAAGAAATAAACCTATAAATACGTATTAAAGGACTAAAACTTCTTTATCAAAAACTAACGGGAAACTCGAAGCGTTATAACAATAAAAACTAACTTTAAACTTAAAAATAAAAATATCTTTTAAAACTTTTTATAAAACTAAATCGCCCTTATAATGGTTTCCGGAAATAGCACCGCTCCGACTTCAACTCAAGTCGCACACCTGAAAGGGGAAAGAGGGATGAGTATTCCAAGAATACTCAGTGAGGGGCGTGCTAAAGAGCCCGCGAGATCCTTTGGAAAAACTATTTGAAATAATAATATAAATATACTAAAATATATAAATTAAACACAAGCAATCAACCTACATAGAATTACTAGCACTTGCATAAAAGTCAAATCATCTCAACATTTAAATATATAAATCAAATCAAACATCCTATGAAATCTATAACACATTCCTAAGGATCCACCGTCCAAGGTACTCAATCTTTGCCACCGCCCATTCCGGGTTTGACATATAACATGGTGCCACCGCCCACTACAGGGTTTGACAACGGCTCGTCAGCCCCTTATCGATCACTACAACTTCACAATTGTCCCTCGTTGTAGGCCGTCAAACAACACTGACACTATGGTCAGCGGTACAATCAATGAGTCCTACTATATCTCTTAATTAATTATAAACCAATCATCATCAATTTCAACATCAACCATCAATCAAATCTAATTCCTATATCAAGATAAACATTACTAATTCAACTAATGAATCTTTAGGAATCATAAACCAATCCTCACCTTTGCTTCCAATTAAAAATAGAAGTCAGAAGAAATGGTTATTGTTGTTGATGGACGGAAACTGCAATAGATAGGTTCGGGAATTAGAATTTTCCTAAAATAGATTTTTCCAAAAATAAAACTTTCCAAAAATAGAAACTTTCTAAAAATAGAAAGTTTCAAAAAAAGAATATTGCCCAAATTAAACATTCTAAATTAAAGAATTTCTAAAATAAAACTAGGGTTTTCGGATTAGGGTTCGAGTTGAATTGCACAACAAGTCATTGCAGAATTATGGTTTTCTAGTTAACAAGTTGGTGAATTTTGGGCAACAAGAAATAGACGTACAAACTAGGATTTACCTTTTCTGGCAGGTCTGACTGGTCCGGCGGCTTCCCTGACACGTCCTCTAACTGAAACCACCACGGTTTGACCAAACTAACACGGATCTGTTCGGAAATGCATACCCAAAACTCAACTCAGATTCTGGAAAAATGCAGTTCTGCAACTAAGGTTCATAAACTCAGAATTTAACAGATTTGCTTGCTTGGGAAGAAACGATTGTAACTCACCGAATAATGAAGCAAATCGAACGATCTCAGATTCTGTGGAAACCTCGGAGTGTCCTCTTTCCAACTGTACCACGATCAGCCTCTGGGTCGGTCTGAGTCGTCGGAAATCCATCCCGCAACTTCTGATGTAAAACTGAGAAAAAGACAGATTTCTGGAAATCAACAGCAAGATCCGCTCGGAATAAAACGACGAGAACTCACGGAGTATACCTTCAAATCGGTCGATAGAGGAGTATCTGGATAGCTAGGAGGATCCTCTTTCTAAAAACCCCGAGATCGTGATCTAGATCGATCGGAGTCGACGGGAATTTGCCTTGAAAGATGGCGTCTCGGATATTCGATCTACAAAACATCAGCCTCGGGAAAAGACGCATAACTCTCAGTATACAAATCAAAATGATGAAACGCTTTCTGCTAAAGGTATATCTGTGAGTCTAGAACTTACCCTCAAAGTTTCGTGCCAAACAAATCAGATCTGGACCGCCTTTTCTCTACTGCACCAAAACGGGTCGGAACTGCTTCCTTTGGCCTTTTGATTACTCCTCCTCCATGATGGCTGGCTGAGGTTCGATTTTGGCAAGGCTTCGCCGTGGTGGTCTCTCTCTGCTTCTCTCCATCACCACGAGCTCCTTATATAGAGGAATGGGAGGGTTAGCCACAAATAGGTTTAGAGTTTTGAAGTGGGCTTTAGTTTTTTTGTGGGTTTATTTTTGGAGGTTAAGGGATTTTAGATGGGTTTAGGAAAAGAATGGGTTTTGGCTAGAAACTTGGGTTCAAGGATGTCACAGGTGAAGTTGATGAAAATCCCTTCAAGAAAGCATGCGAGCAGAGATTCAGTGGCCAGAAGGTTGAGTTGGAACACACCTTGCTCTGCTCCAAATGGCAGAACATTATCAAGGATTCAGCATGGTACCCATTCAAACGCGTGGGAACTGGAGAAAAAATGAAGGTTTTTTTGTTTGCCTCTCTTGTTATTATTATTCCATTCAATTCATCAGTTATTAGTCGAGAATTAAGTTTCCGATAAAGATAAGTGAGCGATTTGCTCAGGGTTTAAGATTTAGGGTTAGGGTTTGTGACAATTCTACCGAAAAGAACACAAACTAGTCATGACACATGGATAAATTCGGAGACGTGATAAAAACATTCTCTCTTAATGAAAAGAAGGAATTACATCGAATTTACGACCTGGTCTTCGATGACTTATCAACCTCCATCTTAAATAATCGCCGTCAAACATCACCATCGTCTCCCTCTTCCTCAAGGCTGTGCTTCGAAATTTTGGCGGGAGTGAGCGGTTGGGGCATGGGATATATGCTTTGGGTCTATTTATGTTTGTCCATTTACAGGGTTTAAATGGGCCTTTACAACCCACATATATGATATGATTTTGTTATTTCGGATTTCTTTTTTTTTTTCACGGAAGAGAAGTTTTTATTAAATGAAGGAAAGAGAAATGAAACGCAGTTGTCTCAGACACGCTGAGCAACCCAAAAACCCAGAAACAAAACAAAACAACTAAATAGGATATTCTTTCGGATTTCATGTACATCAGATAGGATATTTATAATCTCATATAGGAATCGAAAAGATTTATTTGGATTCGGTTTGATTCCAGTTATTAGAAATAAAATTTTGATTTAATTTTTAATAGAATTTAGTTAATTTTTATAAAATTTAGTTTAACTTTTAATTTATAATATTCGATTTCATATTGTAAAAACATTAGTTAACTTTGACAAATGTAAGTATTTATATTTTGGCTATTTTTGTTTGAAATTATAATTTTGGATATGTGGTTATTTCAAATCAAAATTAACTAATAGTTTTTGGTATATACAGTATCTACACTAGATTAGGATCCGCGTATACGTGGATTTATGATACAAAATTTTAAATAAATTAATACAATTTAAAAAAGAAAATAACAAAACACAAATAAATACATTAAAAACACAAAATCTAAATCTAAAAGTTATTGATTTTGATTCGTATTTGTTTTCTACTAAAATATGCAAAACAAAGAATCTGTGAAGGCTCCTAAATAAAATTAACCATATTTTTTATGTAGTTCAACAATTTATCAATTATTTTTTTTCTGTTTCAGTAAGTTAAAAACTTGGATATGCAATCCGAATCCTTCTAAATATATTTTAACTCTCTTTCTATTAAATCTTTCTAAGCAAATAAAGTTTTTTTTATGATCCTACGTTACAAATTTTTATGTATTTTTTTTAATTATCTAATTATTAAATACCATAAACACTTTAAATAAATATAATATTCAGCAAAACAAATAATAAAAAAATAAAAAAATTGGAACATAGAAAGAATCATAATGGACAAAATTTTAAATATCGTCTAAAGAATTTTAATAGTAATAATGCAATAAAAAAGGAAAACTATACCTATAAATTGAAGCTCAAAAAATATTATTTTGTTTGGTGAAAATTATGAGAGATTTTATTTATTTATATAGATGTGGGTAGTAATTTCCCTTTCCTTTTAAGATTAATGTTTTAGCTTAATTTTCTTTTCTAAATTAAAATATTTATTTTTGTTAACTTTTTTTTTTCATTCAAATAATATTTTTCTTTTTCTTTTAGGATTAGTGTTTAAGTTGTTTTCTTTTTTTAAACTGAAATATATATTTTGAGTTATCTTTGTTTTAAAAACAAAATTTAAACATGTGTTTAAATCTGAATTGAAAGGTTCGTTATATTTTATGATCATGTGAATTACTAATTTTGATGCATCTAACTTTATATAATAAGATAGTATTTTAGATATTTTGAACTTGATTAGGTTTGCAATTTGGTTCTGATTGGGATATCTTTAATAAGAAATCAAATTGGTTTCTCGGTTCTGGATAATTTGGCCAAACTTACCGGCTGAGTAGCAATCGGTTTTGTTGAAATTTTATCATTTAAATATATTATTAGGTGGTTGGTCCATCCACAAACAATGATTTTGTAAATTAAAAATAAATCTATAAAAATAAGGCCATTTTTTCCTTTATTCAAATAGCCTTTTCTGATGTGTATTACAGAAAATGCTATTAGACATTTAAAGGTTTATTAAGGTTGCGTTAGTCATTTGAATTATATGAAACTGATTTTAGCTATTTTTTGTTTTTTTTTAAATTTGCATATATACTTATTACCAAAAATATTTATTTTCAAACATTATATATTTGTATTACTTTAATTCTAATTGTATAACATATTTAAATAATTATAAACTTATCAATAAAAATTAATTCGAAGATCTAATATTTTACTATTATAATCTTAACAAATAAACTATTTTAAAATAAAGATTATATAATAAAAATATACGCACCAAAATTAAATGTAATTTAAAAATAATTATTATACTTTATACCTATCATTTGTTGTATTATATATTTTTATAATATAAAAGTAATTTCCAAATTTTATGAAAATCTTATGAAACATGACAATTCTAATATAAGCTTGATATTGTTTATATTAAACCATATAATATATTTATTTAGAGAAAAAAATTATGTAAGAAAAAAGATTTATATTGGCCAATTATATCCAAAGATGCCTATATATGTGGGTTTTTTTTTTTTTTTTTTTTTTGCGATCCATACTCACTATGTTGTTGCTATATTGTAGGGTTTTGATGATTGGGATGGAAAAGATATATATCGTGACTAGGAATGTTAAAATGGATAAATATCCAGCGGGTGCCTAAACCTTAAAAAAAAACCAAGCTCATAAACTTATAAACCTACCTTTTATATATGAGGAAAGTTCTGAAGAGAGGGAAAAGCTCTAGTTTTGCATATAATACCTTAGAAGATGCATTAGTTCGGCTCAGAACTCATCACTGTATGGTTTTGATGGTTAGGATGACTAGGGATATTTTAAAAAGGGTAACTACCCAGTGAGTACCTAAACCCTTGAAAAAAACCAAGCCCATAATCCTACCTTTTTTGTAAGGGGAAACTTCTAGTTTTGAAGAGAAAAGTGATTTGACAAAGAAAACCACGATAAAGATCCAGATAATGTCTCCCATCATTGCTAAATTGTCAACAAATTTGGAAAAGAAATCATCTCACATGAAAATCCCAGAGTTGCTTAGGTATAATGCGATTTAGTCATTACGAAAATAAAACCGAAAACTCATTTTCAACTACATCTTTTAGCTAGCTCATTATGTTTTTGTTGACATCAAATTATAATAAGAACAAGCCAGTGAAAGGATTAGAATGGCAATCAATGATATATA